TTTTATATATATATATATATATATATATATATATATATATATATATATATATATATATATATATATATATATTAAAATACGACTGCAAAAGAATACTAATTAGGATTAACCATTATATAATCATGCTAATTAGGATGAACAATTATATAATGCCACATGTGTTTTATCAGATATAAAGTCAATCCACGTGATATATTATAGCTGACATGATTTGCCACATGCAAGGTTTATGAATTATTAATGAGTATTTTAAATATATATATATATTATTAATGAGTATTTTAAATATATATATATATATATATATATATATATATATATATATATATATATATATATATATATATATATATATATATATATAGGATTACGATTAGCAATTCTTTATATAGCGCAAATTTGCATGTGGATATGATCAAATGCGCTTTACATCGAGTATTACGCTTCCCTAATTACTTACTTAGCCCAGACTAATTTATCTTTACAACAATTGTGATATTACTTTCTTAACTGTGTTTATCCTAACCCAACCTGTCAACTTTCCCAGCATGCGGCTGGAAACTGCAGCACGTGGGGAAAACCCACGACTGTCCCCGTCTTTTCACAGGATGAAGCTCCTATAAATATCGAAGATTTTTATTTTAAAAACTTCAATTTTTTTTAAATTTTGTTTTTCTTTTAATCACTAAATTGCAGGCGAGGTAACAATGAAATTCATAATATTGTAGAAGAGAAATGAATACCTAAAATTTCACGGGAGTATTAAGATGTCCTCATCAGGTGTTAACGACGGCAAATCACATATTCCCACGTTCTGAAACTCTTTCTAATCAGATCCTTAAAACATATTCACGTCAAACGATGTAAAATACACCACATAATATCTATTGAATCATTTATATTCCGACGAGTTTGTGCGCCTCCCTAGATGGCTAAGATCCCATAATACACCAGTGTCACAAAATTCTCAACTCGGCATTACCGCTAATTTCTCATGCAATTGAGAAATGTCAATATTACCGATGACAAATGGTCGATCATTCCGGCCATCTAACTTAAAAATTAAAAGTATAGACCCATTGCACTGATGTCACAAATCCTGTGAGTGTCCTCCAGATGTACCCTAGCAATATCTGTTCGGGTACAACAACCACCTACAGCGCAAAAGTTAACCGTTTTAATACAAAATTATTATAAAGTTAAACAAATTTGTTTTGTTTACAAAAGTTATATTATCACAGATTCCTAATTTGTCCTCCAGATGCATCACCACCGGCGCTGTGACGTCATGTGCAATGGGTCTATTCTTGACCTTCACCCAGGTTAATGTTAGGGTGTGGGTTAGAGTTGATGTGGGTGTGGATCAGGTTCATTAGAAGGCTTTCATTCAATTGAAAAGGAGATTATCTCTGGCGTCTTCTCACTATCTACAGCCATCTTTGAAATGAATGTGCAAAACATTTGATAATGTTGCGTAACAAAGTTGCATATAGTGGCTTAAACTACTCCGGAAACTGGTGGATCATAGATAGCACTCGTGAAACCTATGCGAGTTATGCCCATTATTACAGGATGATATCATTTGTAACATTCATTACTCAAGGAAAAAAAGAACAATTATACAAATCAATAGGGAATATTCCACTCACAACTAACCAACCTGTTCTCTTTTCTACTACTAAATAGCATTGCGACATGGAGCCTGATCCTTTAAGGTCTTATTGATAGTACTAATATGCATTAAGAGCACGTTTGAAGAGCAAATTTAACGATTTTGTGCGCGTTTTTGGTGAAGCATAACATGTTAATCACGAAAACGAAGCTTTTTGGCCAACATGACGTTCTTTCCGCAAGAGTGTATTGGAATACTACAAACCGGTAGTGTGTGGTGGGAGTCCACTTCAAGAAAATGTCGACCCACTGAAGCTTGATTTTTCTTGCATTTTCAAAAACAACTTTTTTACATACAATATGCATTCCACACAAACTTATCTTTCAGTATAAACACAAGACCTTTGAATAAACACAAGTTACTCGTCATCTGAACCAAGCTAGTTAATCTTCTCTTTTTTGCTTATGTTCTAAACAAAGGGCACTTTCCTTCAGAGGCCTAGCTAATGGAGGGTAGAGGTGAGGTTGGGGCCAAGAAAAAGCCAATTTTTTGTCAGTATATTTGAAAGAGTAGCCTACTGAATAATTGAAATACACGAAAGATAAATAATGTAATGGAAGCGTTGTTATGAACAAATGCGCCATTCAGTAGTCAGCTTTCAAAGACAACTAAACACTTGATATTATTGTGTAGTAAAAGTTGACATTTGTTAGTTAGGACTACAAAATTAAGGAAGTCAGATATTTTCAAACGTCTCTCAAACTGGGCAATATATTAAGCAAGCTATTATCTCTTCCTACACAGCACTCATATCGTACGTGATTAAAATCGCGTTAGTATCAACAGCAGGACGTTTTAATGAACGATAATTTTTTCTTCCAGAATATCATTATTGTGAAGCGCCTTCATTGTTGGTATAAATTGCCAGACAATTTGAAGGAAGGTATAGGTGTGTTTAAATTTCGACTGATCTCACTTGGCTAGAAGAAAGTATAGCAAAAATTGGAAGAGACACAGGAGCAAAGCATGTAAGTATATTTATTAGTATTGGACTACTTTACAAAGCATTACTTGCGTCTGTTGGGTGAGTATTGACTATTTTTATTGACTACGTTTATTGAGTATATGGACTACTTTTAGGAATGCAGCAACAGCCCTGCTTTACACACTTTGCGCAAAAGCGCTTGTACCAACAAACCTACACACAATGTAACATGCTGTTAGTTCTCCCAAAAATTAACCAAAGGTCAGTTCAGCACAACTGTGGCATCGTAATTCTTACGTTGAAATTCATTACCGCGAATTACCGCGAAACCCATATCGCTGAGTCTTGCTTCTCAATTTACAGGAATGGCGGGCAGTTTTGATTTTACTTTTGTCGATAGCCACGCAAAGGGACATATTACAAAATTCCACAAATCTGCACACCGTAGACGTGGTGTACAAACCACTCCACTTCAGCATCTTCGACCAGCCATTTGGTACAAACATTTGTTATAAATATAAGTGTATACGGGCGCCTGTGGTGGGGGAGAAAAGGGGATGCTGAAAATAAATATAAAATTTGGCAAAAAATACGGGTGGAATAAATTTAAAAACGAGAAATGTGTAACATAATGATCGAAAATGCAAAGATTTCAGATTATAGCGGTAAGTTAAAAAAATTCCCTAGCCATCCCCCGCCTATAGTTTTCCTCCTCCCGTTCGCCTTATGATTACAAATGTCTTACACGGGAATTGCAGAAACTGACCTAAGGAATTAATTTAATTAATTCAATGTATTAATTTAGGACGTCAAAACCGTCTCAAGTGATATTTATTATGGTTTTGGTTCTTTATGTGAGCACAAGCGCCATGGAATTGCGGAAAAGAGGTAGCTGTGAGAATATATGCGCTGGAAAACATCGTCCTTGCTTTCGAGCCTGTGTTGGAATTGAAGCATGTGAGCCGTGTCGTCAGGCCATGGCAGCATGTGTTCATGCATGCCCCTCAAGAAAAAGAAATCTGAAAGCATCGACTCGAGCATTTGAAGATTCCTTATATTTTGATCACTAATTTTCCCTTATTGACAATTGTCAATGAGAACTTAGTTTTGGAACAAATGACAATATATAATTATGATATTTCCTCGGAATAGTTAACGGATTATCCGTCAAATAAAGTCTTTAAATAAATATTTACAGTATATTACATTCTGAATGTCTTTACTTCTTACTATTTTGCGCTTAATTAGAAAACCTCATTTAAAAACCTTTATTTTTAATTTCCTTTCTCGCACTCATAAAGCAAATATTATACATGCAGCTCGGGCATTGAGTACATTCGAAGTTTTTTAAATAAACCAGACACAGCACAAGAGTGCGGTGCCCTATAAGCATGCGCAAACAAATGCACCCCAAACGGAATAGGAACATTTTTTGGGATTAAAGCTTTGTTGCCTGAGAACTGATTTAAGCTGTACAAATACTGCACCATGTATAACCAAAATAAAATTCCATAACATCGCGTATTCGCGTGATGACCTATATTTTTTGATCAGCTTTAACCTGAAAATGATATTTAAAAAGTCCGTTGTTGAGTGTTAATCCGTTTCTTGGTTTGTATACATCTCGCTGAGAAGCAAATTAACAAATTTCGTAGGTTGAAATTTCATTTGGAACCTCTAAAATAATATTTTTTATATAAACAATATTTTATTATAGTAAAAATTGGTAATTGCGCCAAAAGCAAAAAGGCTTAACTTGGGCGCTCTTGACGTTACATATTTATAAAAAAATAGCTAATAAAGCAAGCACAAATTTTGGACAAACACACAATTAAAATACACACACTGGGCAATGTAGTCAGGGGCTGCTTCAGGTGAAACGACCTGAATCAATAATGCATTTTTGGACACTTAAGAATATAAATTGCAGTAATATTCGTATCAATAGAAACATTCCCGATACCATGCTTGTGATGTTACTCTGAGTGTATATCCACACCGGGAAAGCTTGAAAAATATGCCTGACCACGGTGGGAATCGAACCTACGACCTTTGGAATACTAGCCCAATGCTCTGCCAACTGAGCTACGCGGTCTGGTCGGTTCGAGTACAGTATGTAATATTTCGGATCAGAATCTAGTTCCTTCGATAACAATGTTATCTAATAATAATCATGATTGACCAACACAGAAAAATCATGATTCCCGAAACCATAAAGTAACCACTTAAGACGTGTACCCTTACCAGCACTTGACCACCTTTGCACCGAGTAGGGAAACAGGAGAGGTGAGCAAGGTATTCCGAATAGCAGCATATCGGTCACAGTCGAAAAAGAAATGAGCTGTAGTTTCTTTTGGAGAACCACATGCACAAAAAGAGGAAGAAACAATTTTTTAAGTATAAATCGTAGTTTAATGTACTATTAGATAATCTCAAACGAGAATGCAAAATAGCTTGCAGACGATCACCTATATAATGTAGTATATGCGGATTGGGAGCTGAAAGGCTATATATTTCAAAGATCCACGGAAGAAATATAAAATGACTTTTTGTAACGTTCGGTTCTAGCGAAAGGGACCATCAGATTATCATTAGCACGTAAACTACGATTTGATCTAGAACTGACATTATCAGAACGCAATTCTGGCAGATACGGAGGGGCTAGATTATTTACAATTTTGTACATCATAAATAACTCTTGTGATCCCTTGCGAAAATAACTATATTATATTGCTATTTTAAAACTATTTTATTACTATCACCCCTATTTTTATGCTATTTTATCGAGAGGCAACCCTATTTTAATTCTATCATAATATTTCACTAAAAGAAAGAGCCATATTTTATTAATGTTTTTTTAATTTTATTCCTATTTTTATAGATAATAGAAATGAAATCGCATATTTTAATACTATTTTCCAGAGCCTCAGGAAAAAAACTGGTTTAAAATAGTCTATTTAAATTCTATTTTACTTCACTAAAAAGCAGTTAGAAATTAAAATAGCCATAAAGTATACTATTTTTAAACTCATAAAATAAAATAGGCTCTTTAAATCCTATTTTTCATTGCAAGTTAAATGCACAAATTTCAATCAGGAATAAAATATACTATTTTAATCCTATCTTTCTTTCATAGTTAGCAAAATATCAATAAAATAGACTATTTTAAAAATATTTTGCACGTGCAGAAAATTACATAAATTAAAATAGATATAAAATATAGTATTTTAAAGATATTTATTTTTCAGAATACGCAATATAGAGTAAAATAGACAATTTTAAACCAATTTCACGTTTTTAAAAATGCTACATTTTCCAAATAGGGATAAAATATACTATTTTAAACCTATTTACTTTCCCTAATTTTGCAAAATATAGTAAAATACACTATTTTAATCCTATTTTACATTTACAGGAATTCAGGATTACAATTTGCAGATATGTGTAAAATAGTCTATTTAATTTAAAACCGACTGAATTTTCCGACTTAGCTTAACAAAATGAAATAAAGTGGAATCGTATTTTACATTTACACAGACAAGGGACCAATCACTAATTATGGAAGTGGGGGGAGGGGCGGAGCGTGAGAAAAGCGGGAGCCTTCAACTATTGCGTCATCCCCACTGGTCATCCCATGCAGTGCTTCCACTTGCAAGGAAATTTCTTTGCAAAAAGAAATAAAATTTACCCGGAAACGGCAAGGAATTTTGCTTTCAGCAAGAAAATAAGGATATTACGTTATTTCTAATAAATCCTAAGATTATAGCAATTCCAAAATAAATTCAGGAAATGTCGAAAATCCAAATCTTACTCCTGGGGAATGGAAAATCTGAAAAATTTCTGAGGCATGACCTTAAGCCTCCTGTTGAAGTTTTTTATAATAAATTTATAATTTATAATTGCAACGTTCATGGTGTTTCACGCCCGAAAAACACACCGACATTCAGGATAAATTATTGTAATATCAGTTTTAAACTAGGTAAAATTCATCTTCTTTAGTGCAATTAATTTTTGTCAAAAATAAGGAAATTTTGAGCAGTTGGGAAGGCAAATCTTTTTTTGGAAGTGGAAGTGGAAGTGGAAGAACTGAATTTACACCCCGCCATATTTTTTATAATCAGTTCGTGATTTCGAAGTTACAATATTTCGCTTGATATTTCGAGCAGATGAAGCTTTAATAAGCGAAGATGAAACATCAGGGATGATTGAGTAATATCCACGTAAGAATCTTGTTATGTTTTATGTATAATAGAGCAATTTTGAAAGGAAATATTTGCTATCTTCATTCGTGAATTTTGAGAATGCACGTGTTTGATGACCTTTGATGTTTCGGCTTAAAATTTGAATTTGCCGCGACAATTTCGAAGTACAAGTTACAATATTTCGCTCAATATTTCGAGCCGATGAAGCAGGGGTGGCGCTACAGGGTGTGTGTGGGGGGGGGGGGGGGAACACACCCACACTCGTCAGCTAATCGGCAAATTGTTATCTCAGTCGGCAAAACTGGATTGCCTAAAGATAACTGAAGAAACCAAAATTGACCTCCTGAATAATTGAATTCAAACCGAATATCACGTATAGCATGCATCAAAGAAACCACACATGCAGCAATGCAAATTTTTTCGAATACAGTATCTTCACTTCTGGCAGCTTGTTGTTGTTGTTTTTGTTGTTGTTGTTGTTGTTGTTGTTGTTGTTGTTGTTGTTGTTGTTGTTGTTGTTGTTGTTGTTGTTGTTGTTGTTGTTGTTGTTGTTGTTGTTGTTGTTGTTGTTGTTGTTGTTGTTGTTGTTGTTGTTGTTGTTGTTGTTGCTTATTATACTGTTCTATAAAAGCGGCAATAAAGTCGGTTTTCCACTAGCGAATTTTCTCGCACGAAGCGACCTTTTTCCTTTGTCGGTATCACTTATTACGTCAGCAAGACGTGGCAAAATCAGTCCTCGAAAACAAGGTCGGCATTCGGCAATGCCGTGCTAAATGCAAATTTTTGCCCACCTTAATTCAACCAAAGTAAGAAATTTTTGTGCTGATAGCTTTTAAAATGTCAGCGATTATAGAATTCGATTCGTAGTTCGATTAACTGAACACACTACGGTGTGAGGTTTAATTAAAAACTGACGGGGTATTGTGTATATACGTTAGATGTTTGAAGATCAAATTTCGCGCGTCTGGAGTTAAAATTTGGCTCCAACTTTCGAATTTTCCGGCTGGAGGTAACGTTCCAGTTATATTCCGATTTCAATGATTCGCAAATGCGTGATTAATAGTGCTCTAAGACGTGGAACAGATTTTAAGAAATGCCGAGATGTGCCGACCTAGGTCAGACTTAGGTCGGCCCTCTTTTGCCGACCTCAATTTTGACGGTTTTGACTTTTCGAGGGCTGCAAAATGGATGCCGACAAAGGAAAAAGGTCGCTTCGCGCAGAAAAATTCGCTAATGGAAAACAGACTTAATAGAGGGTAATAAAGCGCATTTAAACATGCACATTTACTATAGATGGCCCTAAAGGGGTAAAATGGGAACTGGGATTGATCTATTTTTAGACTAGGAAAATGGGATTTGGGTTGCTGGGACAGGGATTTGGCCACTAGGAATGGGAAATGAAGTCCTCAAAAATGGGAATGGGATTGAAGTAATGTGAGTCGATTCCCAATTTTGATCCGTTTTTGGTGTCTTTAGTCGTGATTTTTGTTGTTAACTATATTATTCACAGCATTACCTGCGAACAGACATACTCTGGCGCCCGGAACTTTGGGTTTTCTGATTATGCGTGTCTCAGAATGATGCAAATGCCATTTCCGGGATTCAAATTTAGAAATTTTCCGTGCCTTCGACACGAGCACCCCCCCCCCCCC